TACAAGTAACATGTAACCAATGCATGACCACATATGACTGAGGCAATTTGAATTATATATTTGGTGCAAATATAAAAATCTAAAGAGGGACCATTGGAATGCAGAAAATGAATACTATGGAATGAGAAATAAACACAATGTGGGTGCCTATTTAGTATTTACCCTGGCCCAACTTATATAAATTATACAACTACAATATAGTGTATAAACAATCCTCATAATATACATACAGTGACATATAGTTTATTGTATAATTCTATAACAAAAATTATATAAGATAACATGAAGTTCCTGAGTGCATACTCATGACCATGTCGGATATGGTACATTTTCAGAGCAACTAATTCTTCACAGATATATACTTCTGAAAAAATGCCCTTTCACCTACACAATTTTTTGCTATGGTAGAGCATTATTTTTCAATTGAAATGGTTTATACTCACTTTTTGTGGTCAATTCTCGTTTCACCTTAGTGCACTGTGGTTGATGTTGATATCACTGAAAAGAAGCATATTATTTTCGTATGTTTTTAGTTGTTTAGTTGATTTTATTTTTAAAATGTCAGTTTTTGGGGTTTTTTTTGGCCATATATAGTAGTAAGTGATCATATGTAAATGGTGTTTGCCATGTTTTGGTAAAAATAAATGTGCTAATGTGTTCAAAAAACCATTTTTTGATTAAAAAATTGCATTTTAAGGTAGTCGAACATACTCAGGGCATTTAAAAATGTCAGGCTGGGCGAAATTATACGTATAGAAAAAAGTATTTAATTACAAGTGTTAATATAATAATAGATACTTGAGCATAACTGAAAATCGCAGTTATGGGATAAAACAAGATTTATGATCTCTCAAAGGTCATGGATCGAAGGTTGCATCAAATGCTTGCATTACGAATCTACGAACTAAAGGTTGCGCCTAATTGAAATCGTTGGCTTTTGTTGTTTACATTATCAATGTTATTGCCAATAACACCATTGGAGGCAATTACAAAGAGAGATGTTATTGACTTTATCTGATCAAGCTGATGCATCGTCAAACGGATCCTTAAATTCTTGCTTTTTAATTTCAATCAATCTCACTTTCTCCAAAGCTGAATAATGCAGAGTATTTGATTTAAAAACCTGTTTAAATACGATTGCATAACCACTCATCAATAAGAAAGTGAGAGGGGACGGGAAAGGGAAGATACCAATATTAATAATAATTTGAACGTTTATAATTCTTAATAAAGTGCTTTTAATGACTGATCGTAGAATACAAAATGCCTTGATGTAGACATATTACAATTAAAAACTGTAGAGGGCTCCTGTCAAAAAAGATTAATATGCTTTTGTCATGTTAGATCTTACAACAAGAGATACCCTGTGATATTATGTGGTGATATTCTACAATCCTTCTGTATGCATAGGGCATTAATTTTAATATATTTATTATCAAATAGTCTTCAATTTACTACTGTATCTCTGATAATAATTTATCTAAATTAAATTTTGTTATCAGTATTCTATATGTTTCAGCATGTTTATCAAGCTTTTCTAAGGTGGACGGCCTGCATCAGGAAATACTAACAGATTAGATCAGGATTTATCGAGTGACATTACAAATCAGACTAAGCCGTCCTTACAGCTTCAGTTTGAACCGACACATTTTAATTACAGCACGTTGGAAATATGCTTGAGTAGCGTAAATGCTATGCTTGCAGGGTTGTAAAACTGGGAAAATTCATGGTTACCTTGAGGAAGAACTGTATTATCACTCCCAAAAAGTATCTGTCATTTTTGCAATGAATTTGTGATCCAGTAACCTTAATTTTTATTCATGTTTTAAGAAGTATTTGATTTTAACTTGGAAGAGGATTTTTCCCCATCTGTGACTTGATATTTATAAACTTTAGAATAGTGGTTCTTTTAAATTGTTCTAGTTTTATTTCGACCTTATTTGTAGGTGGCAGTTTATCTTAAGTCTGTTGTCAAAGAAATTGTTAACCAGGGAAGTCTGAATAGCTGAAGATGTGACCACTTAATAATAAATACAGGATACTATATAGTGCAGGGATAATTCACTCCTTAAAGATACTGTTTGTTTATGCTGAATAAACAGATACTTGATCTGCTTATTTTTGCAAATAAGTAAGCTATTATTAATACTAAAATTAACGGAGGAACTATAGTAATTGTTGTCATATATGTGTAGCAGTCTTATTATTGCATATTGATGTAGTGATAAATTGAATGGTGTAGACATTCCAGCAGAATTAGTGCAAAACCAGGTCATAATGAACATACACAAGACAACAGCTGCATATGGTAGTTCCAACTAAATATATCTTGTTAGCTTTTTGGTTTGAAGTTGTGAAAACATTAGCAATCAAATAGAATTGAAGGCCTTTAATGAGTGATATTTATTTCAGGCTTATCAGAGTCATTGTAATAGGTAGATAGCTACTGTATGGTCTTTTCGATAGTCAAATATTATAAGTGAACTCAAGATAGATTAAATATCATTTACTCTTACAATCGATGAAAAAACATCATTTGTGTCGTTAATACAATGCAACCAATAGATAGGAAGCTGTTCCCGAAGTTGTTATGATTAAAGGAACTGTTTCATCTACAGTACAAGGGAGTTTCGGCAATTAAAGGTACTATTTCACTAGTATGATGAGCTGTTATGAATGTAGTAAAGAAATTCTCCACACAGTGGCACACTGTATACATATAGTAATAAAGGGGATGGGGGAACATAATGAAAAATTGAGGACAGGGGATTGAGGTTATATTATGAGGTAATTTTTAAGTTCTCACAGATTAAATGAAAGGTCTTGCCTACAAGAGAGCTGTTGTAATTAGAGGAACTATCTCACACACATCATGAGGGAGCTGTTGCAGCGAAGGTCTCATATAATTGAGCTATTTATTATTAAGGTCTCATCAATATGTCTTTAAAGTGTTTCAAAGAAAGATTTATAGTTTGGTGCTAGATGTAGCAGAAAGCTGTCCCTATTCTCACAACCAGTCAGGCATCATATTTTGCTATGTATTTTTGACAAGTAGAAACGAGTCTTTAATTTCTCTCTGAAAATAATAATTAAACGACCGTCCATTAATAGTGGAGTAGGTGGTGAATGTGTTTGAGGCTGTGGACCAGGTGTCTGATGATGTCACTTGGTATTTCTTTGTTAATGAAATAATCTTGGATGTATGTTGCCAGATGCCCCTGTTATATCACAGAATGTCAAACATTAAAATTTAATTATTGTACATCATGGTGAGTCAAATGGCCAAGCAGTTACAGCAGGGGTGCTGCAACCTGCATCCATTATATCGGCGCTGGTTCAAGCTGCATGCAGGGTTCTGGTGGTACAGTAGAACAAGTCTTCTAAAATAAGGACGATAAACTGTAGGCCTAGTCTATACAATGGCTCATGTGCACTATAAAGAACCCAGTACATCCTTCGAGACGAGTTGGTGAATACCCTGGTGTACTGGTACAGACAGCCCCTGTGGTGGCCGACAAGATTTGCTGGAACCAGTTTACTGGGTAGCACAGACACGAAGAGACCCTTAGGGGTGAAGAAAGTCATTGATTGAGTTTGTAGTCCACATATCAAGCGCCATGAGCATCTTGTTTGAAGGATACCGACGCTATACAAATCTACACTAGGCCTATTATTATTATTCCCAAGATGAAGTTATATTTTTTCAGCAATTTTTAGTCCATCTGCTATATTAATCCCATCTTCCCTTGAAATATAGTACATCCTAGTGTTTTCTTAATCATTTCTGATGAGTGTCTGTTGCCATACAGGGGTGCATGGTACATGGTTAATGGCTGTGCACTTGTATAGCGCATATTAACATTTGTCTCTATGCAGTTTCCAGGACAACAAAAAGGGTGCAAATGTTTTCTGTATCCGATCTCAGCCCTTCCTGCAAAATAATTGGAAATTAAAAAAAAAAAAAAAAAAAAAATTGTTGGAGAAATAAAATTCCATTCAAAGTGCCATTATCAGAAAAAAAATTGTAACTCAACCCAGCCATGGTGGGCAATGTGGTCTTAAACCTCCATCTGTAAAGTCCCTTCATGAGCCCCATCTAAATTCCTATATCTACCTACCATTGACATCTGATATATTGTGCTAAACCTAACTCAACATTTCTGTTAATATGTTATATTTAGATTTAATTGGTGTGTTTTGTGCAGCTAAGTCAGACAATTTGATAATCGAACTGTAGATACCGCAAATGAAAATTAAAAATATCTCCATGATATATTAATTTTTTATGTTCAATTGTACACAGATATTCCCTAGTGTGTGATGTCATATTTTAAAAAAATCACCTGTAATTCTATTAGTATTTAAATATAGTTGTTTTTCATTTTAGTTCATATTTTTTAGTTTTTCTAATAATTATTATTCAATTCAATTTTCAATATTCATATTTTTTATGCATTGTTAAAATGTTATTTCTTTTATTCATCAATGTTCATACTACCACCTTTCGGTTGATGCAAATATTTCTGAATAGAAATTGGTTAACATGTATTATTACACTTTTTTTTATGAGTACACAATTTATAAGAACACTGAGGCTGAAATTAAAAAGTCAAATGAGGCTTTTATTTAAAATTTATTTAAGTTATTAAAAAAAAAACCAACGAAACAAGCTTCTCAAATACAGTAAAGTATTTATGTTTTAAAGGGTTGTATTATACATAGATAATATCCTCTATAGATACATTATAGATATATATCTACAGTAACAATAACAATTTAATTTCTATCTTTGAAAAGTATGTAAAATAAGAACATTTTGAGCTGGAAATTTGGCCCAAAAAAAAAAGTGTATTTGTTATTATTATTTTTTGTTAATCTGTATTGGCATGGAGGATTGTTCCTCCATGGTATTAGTATTTTAATTCACCTCCATCTATAATAATGAATTTCTTCATTAGTATTTGTATTTGAATGCGTCACTATTATTATTTGCAGGTGCTATGTTCCAGTGCAGCATTCTGGTTGCCCCTGTCAAAAAAGAAAATGATGAAGTCATCATGTACATAATAAACTATGAAGATCTTGGGGCTGCAGCTTCTGCGGCAAGTAGTGATGTTGAGGAACCCAATGGTAGCCAGTCAGCAGGTTACCGTTTTAAGCGCAACAGACGTAAGTTTAATCAGAATTATTACATTACCATGATTCTTTATATATTTAAAAAAAAAATGTTCCTTTAAAATGTAGCATTCTTATTTGTTAAGATATGATTCTTAAGTTATTATGCACATTGTTGGAAATTTGTCTGGCATTTTTCACTAGACAAAATCAACAATATGCATATGAGATAGCTTTATGTAAATTTGTTATGGATATGTAAGGCTAAAGAAATGACGGTGATCATCTTAACCCGGAAGTGATTGTCATTTTTGTTATCTTTAGAATCTTTGTATCCCATCTCAAGCTGGTTTTATCACTTTCTTAAAATAACACTCAAAGTTCATTAAACTTTGTTTGTATTAATCATGGCTATAAATCAAGTGGGACTGTGGGTAACAGCTTTCATGTAAACAGAAAGCCCTTTACAACTAACATATTTTTAGAAGGTCACATTGTTATGATGGTTTATTCAATTCATCATTTATGTTACCGTATTGTTCTGTATTTTTGTTTGATTGTTTAAAACATGTTAATTGCAGTTATTTCATTTAGTTTAGAAATAGGATGTAGAAAGGAAGTGATGGGCAAATATATTATAATATAAATAATTTTTTTTTCTCCAAGCAACTGTTAAACCAACAACTAAATCTTATAATGAGACTCAGTAAGATAGAACAGCATTTTGTATTCTGGTTGACAAGTTATTATTGTATAAATGTAATTGCTCTAAGTAAAAAAAAAATGAAATCAGGGTGATTTAGGTCTTATTTCCCTTAGGACAAACCAAACTTCAATGCAGAATATAACTATTACAAATGGTGGCATTAATTCACTTTAAAGACACTTTAAATTATTTACAGATTTAACTGATTTAAATAGCAGCTTAACTACATTAAAAAAATATATATAACTTTGAAAACTTATTAAAAATGTATGATATAAAAGCACATAAATTAAATTATGATCATTTTATGAAGTAAAGGAGGAAAAGTATTATGTACTCCAACTAATGAATAAATGACATCATGTAATTGAAAAAAAAATGGATGAGCACTTTTTAATGATATTAAAATTGTTATAAGCTATACTGTATTGCTTCTTAGTTTTCATCCCAGTTCCAATTTTCAACTGTACTTTTCAAAAACATATGCAGTCAATCATAATTTCTACTCATCTGCACTTAGAAGCAACCTTCTGTTTGATTCACCTTTAAATTATGAAACATGTACATGTATATACTACCAATTTTTAACATATTATCTAGAAAATTTTATTCATACTCGATGTAATTATATTGTTCTAAATTCGGGTTCGAGTTAAAACAATATTTAAACTTGAATATATAATGTAACAAAAGATAATAGAAAATAAATACTGTATGCTTAATTTTGATTTAAGTTGCAAACCTAGACCTCATTTACTGAGCTACCTAGAATAAAGAATTGAAATAAAATAGTGGTGGTGGTGGTAGAAGTTTAGATTGGCATTTAAATCCTGTGACGCCAGGGTATTTGCTGACTACTAAGAAACATTTCTTAGTACTGTAGCGATAAATGAGAATGGGTTTGTAGAGCATCACATTATATCATTTATTTTAGAGGATACATCAATAACAACCTACCTTGTGTTGGTAAACTGGTTAAAAAAAAAACTAAAACAATTATATTTAGGCTTATGTAATTTTTTTAATTTATGAAATTTAAGATTTCACTTGTATTTTTATTATTCCTTTTTCTTTTTTGTGTATGTTATCTGTACAATGATGATTTTTCAGACATGTGTTTATTTAGAATTATAGGCCTGCAGTTGGCGTATTTATGAAAATTAGTTAACTGTATTTGTATTTTTAGCATCCCTTTTCTTTTTTGTGTATGTTATCTATACAATGATGATTTTTCAGACATATCTTTATGTTTTACTCAGGGGTCCCAAGTCTCTCTCTCTCTCTGAAATAAGGACAGCCTCCTGCAATCCTGCAACTAGACAAGAATCTCCAAAAAAATAACCCATCACCCACAAATTCATTTAATATGCACGTTTTACTACTGAATTATCCCTTTATTATCATTTGTCTCATGGAAGTCAGTGTCGATTGGTATCATGATAAGCAGCAAAAGAAAATTAGATGCGCTATTACAGAAAGCTTGCTTAAACAGATTGCTCTCAGAAATTAATTCTTCCAACTTGGGACCCCTGGCTTTACTCTACCATCATTAAACATGCTTGATAAGACAAAAACTGAACTGAATATTGTAGGTGTGTCAGTGAATGAATAAAGGCCTGTTTATGCTTCAACGATAACGATAAGAAAAGCTAAAAGCAATTGTTTATATAGAAAATGAAAGAAATATTAAGAGAAGTTTCTACACTAGAATGATTCGATAACGATTTATCAGTTATGCAATAACATATTTTGACAAATCAAATCAGATGACATAATCATGGAAAAATATTAAAATCGTAGTAGTAGCAACGATTTTATTGTTTTTCCATGATTATGACGTCATCTGATTTGATTTGTTATAATATTTTGGTATCGTATACACGATAAATCTTGTTTTATTGTTATCGTTATCGTTGAAGTATAAACAGGCCTTAAGGGGGGAACATAGATGAAATTTTGGCTGTGGCATGCAGCATGCTGAAAAAGCCGAGCATTCACTCCACCGTGCGATGGTTGAGCGACTTTCGGCCAAGGAATCCAACTCCACTTCCTGTGAGGGCTAGAGGACGCAACGCTGTCTGCTGTTTATCAGTGGCAGTCTAAACGGATCATTGTTAAAAATGATCTGTTGAGCGCTCATCATGGCGTTGCGTTCTCCGTGGAATCTCATCAGCCGGCAGAGGAGCGTCAGGTGCAGTGAGTGGCCGGCTTAACTTGTGATGTCATCAGTTTGTGTTTCAGTTTATGTTGGCTATAAGGACAATTGTTAACTTGCTACAAACAATTGCAGGTTAAATAGGTCCTTTTAAATATTATTTGAATACTTTATTTTATTATTTTAAAGCCTGAAATTGTTTTTGTTAATTGGCACAAGAGTTTGTTTTTTTTTCAAATGAATAAAATGAATTGTTGACTATATCAGTTTTAGATTGTTACCCATTATAGAATGTTTCTGTAATTTTTGTTGAAATGTTGAAATGAATATATTGCCTGTTGTTGATCCATGAACCAGTAGTAGAGAGATTCCAGGGAGTGTACAGTAGGAAGGTGTACTATTGTAGATACGAGCTCAGTAGTCACCACTGATTTGAGATTTGAAAACTATGAAACATGTTTTACCTTTTATCACCTTAGAAATTAATAAAGAAAATGTTCATCCAACTTTTAAATATCGTAGCATACCAAATTATAATAAATAAATATTTTAAAAAATTAAAGAGAAATATATTAAATAAGAATTAGTACAATGATGTACAAATTGCACACTAAAGTTGGTAAAGTTTCTGGCGTTCATTATACTATGAACATGACCGTATCCGGTAATTTGGTGTGTATCCTATCTTCTGCAAGTACTGTAATATGGAATCTCTACAACTGGTTGTTTTTTGTTTGTGTTGGCATGTACATATTCACATCTAATTTCATACATTATATGTTTTTTAACTGGCTGCATTAAATCTCTCAAAATAGCATTAATTTTGCAATTTATCCTTGCGCAGTGTTTTTTTATTGTGGTTTTAAATTCCAAATATAACTCTTAATAGAAAAAAACTATTGAATCTCAATTGCTTTTTCTTGAAAGAATCCTAATCCAATTCTGAACCCAAATTTGATTTCTTTTTTTCTCATTTCATATTATACACAGTGGCGTAACAAAGATGCCTGGGGCCACTGGCTAAGGCCTCATCAGGCCCTATACCTTGGGGGCTCGGGTCTGGGGAGGGAGCCCGGTGGGGTTCCGGGCAAACTGTGTTTATTATTATATGACATTTTTTAGTTTACATGTTCTGCTTCTTAAAATACCCTGCTCGGTTGATTTAGGCCAAAATAAAATATGTTATGGTAATGAATATCCTGGACCCCCTTTCAAGGTCTGGAGCTTCTGCCTTTAGCTGGTCAGAGGTCATCATAGCTGTTACGCCACTGATTATACATGCTTTGGAAAATAATGATTATGTTCTTCCTATGTTGCTTTGTCTTTGATCAATAAATGTGCCTTGTAGGACCAAAACCCTTGAAGAAAATCGCAACGCAAAGGATTTTTTACGATAGCGCTACAGGTAGTTGATATATATATATATATATATATGTATATTTACAATATTTATATTTACATTACATTACTTACATGCACCTGCACCTAAGAGTTAATAATGTAAATGTTGTATAGTTAATTAGATATTTTTTTTTTACATCTTGTGGATGTCACAGTTTGTTGTTGGAAGATTTTCTCACCTGTTCAGTTTGAAAGCTACCTCGGTTGAGTTTCACGTTGACCTAGTAACTGCATAGTAGTGAAGTGTAGATAGTATTAGATGTTATGATGATTAGACTAATCGGCCATTACATTGCAACTTTGTATATTATAGAATTATAAACCATTTAAAATGAAAGCTCTGAACAGATTCTGCCCTATATTTCAGATACATGTTTCTTTCCTCATTAAACAATTTGAGACTTGTCAAAAGACAGGTAGAAGGAGAACTTGATATTTGATGATTCTTTTGTCACATGATCTGAGACCTAATCAAATCTTTTCCTGGAATTTATTATGTAGTAACTTTATTTTGATATTAGTATAATGGAATTTTTGGAGTATAATAATATACAGAATGGATTTTACATAATATATTATGTGTAATAATTGTAAAGACTTGGTATGTTATGTAAAACAATTTTAAGTTAATCAAACAGTTTAAACTAAAATGTTGACCAATATTGGAAATACTAAAATACTTTAGTGAAAAGAAATGTCATCTAATTCTTTGCCGATGGACAGTATAAAAAATAATAAATTGTTATTAATATCCATTATTTTTCTAATATAGAAAGTTGCTACATTTTGGTCTTTACGTCTGATATGATTAATAAATACATTTCATTGCACATTCAGATTGAGATGCGGTTTTGAATTAACTTTTTAGTAATACATGCCTGTTTATTAGTATGCAAGTCAAAAAGTTATCAGTTTAAAAAATGTATTCTCTTTTTATCATATTCAACTGATTATGATGATGTTGCGTTTTCAGTGGTTGTTTTACTCAAGCTGAATTCTCTGCCTTCCATCTAAAACCTTTTCTGTTCTCTAATAGTATACTTCTCTTTTTCTGACAGTCATATTTGATAAATTTAACATTATTTTTGCTTGTTTTTTGTTATGTAGGATTTGGATTTTGTTTTTAACTTTTAAACTAAACAAATTTTATTATATAAGATTTCAAATAGGCAATTGTTATTGTGTGTTCTTTTAATTGAGATTGATTATTGTGGAATTAAATTCAGTTACTTCTAAAATGAATTAATGATTATAGATTTGAGACTTGTTTCAATTAAATGACTTCTGTGCATTTCCTGAATAATGGGATTGTTTCTACAGTATGCAATCTATTTATTTTATTCAGTTCATTATATTGTGCTGAAATTTCTTTTTAATGTGTAAATCTGATTGTGTGAGACATTTTGCTAGTATTGAACTCTCCTGGTTTAGTCTTTGTGAAGAATATCAAATTACGAATTATTACTGCAACATTTTTCATTTTATAAAATCTAGGTCATGAATCAATGTATACATGTGATTAACTGATCAGTAAATAACGTACATAAAAAAAAACCTGTTGAGTTTCATATAATTTCTCATTCAATATTATTTTAAATGACCTGAACATACCCTTTCTCATAATAACAAATAACCTTAATGCGCTGAATGACAGCGTCACTATTCTTACACACAGATTTGATTTTCTGATTGGTTCATTAGGGCTTCTGATCCGAAAATTCTGATTCAGTGTGAATGAGGCTTCACGCATATGAACATTTTTTCAGATCATCAGTATAAAAGCATTATTAAACATTAATTTCAGTATCCCATTCTCATTAAATTATTTTTCTTCATATAATAATCTCCCAGATCGTTTTTATAGAAGAATATTAACAATTCATAATACTGTAGTGTCCATTCACAAAGGTCATCAATATGACAATAGAAATGACACCAAGGTGTATCATAATGTACTAATGAGAGATTGAAGAGAATGAGCCAAGGTTGTTTACCTACAATATGTGACTCCCCCTAGGTCGAATGTAGGAGAAAGCCTTCAATTTAATGCATCGAACGCCACTGTTGCTGAGAAATGTAATGTATTCGCTCGTGTTGATCCATCTTTAATGAAACACTTGGGGGAAGGTTGATTATAGATTTATGCTTGTCTCTTACTTTTAAGAATTGTTCCTTGTGCATTTGTTGATTATTGTTCAGTAGTTGTCGTCATAATTACTGTATATAAATTCTAATCATTTGTGGTTAATCTAAGTATAGATTTTTGACTGTTAACAGGTTTTGCCATTATGTAAATACTGTGTTTTATACATATGGTATGATAAATAACTATTTATTATAAGAAAATAATTATGATATAGTATAATATTCTTAAATTTTGATGTATAGCTGTATTGCTATGAATATATTTTACAGCCTATGCCTGAGTCGTGTCCTTGAAAGTGGTGATAATTTATGTTTTATTATTAAATTTTTTTAAATATTTTTTGTCAATTAGTTTCTAGGATAGAGAAATATAAGTATTTGTAAAAGCATTTGTGGTAAAGGCAACCAAAACCAGTCGCGAATCGTGTTTCAGAGATAATGGCCAAAACATGCTGAAATGTCAACATTTTTAAAATCTATTTTATTGCGCTAAACTAACCTTTATATAGCTATACATCATGACACTTTCGACATTTTCTATGTTAAAACAACATTTTTTAACAATTTGGTGATGGTTTCTGCCTGAGAAATGCCTGTAATCATAAACTTCGAAAGCCGATTTCTCATATATTGTTCTCTAAACAGCTGTATGTTTAAGTGCTTGTAACTTCATAACAAAATGTCAGATTAAAATGATTCTTTTATGTAATAATAACTAAAATCAATTTTTGCGACGAGTGACTGACTTGTCTGTGCCACGTTTGTCCAGTAACCATGGAAATGGCCAGCATAAGAACCACAACCGTACGATTGAGAGCCCGAATCGCAAACAGCATTATTGCATTTTAACTTGTCCGACTTATAAAGTAAAGGTAGTTCTTCATTATTGAACGTAGGGGAATGAGCTGTTAGCCTATCGTACTAAGCCTTGGTATTGTGTGGTAGGGTGGCCAGTTCCTTTCCACGCCGCCTTTTTCCTCCCCAGTAGTGAACCACCGGGTACACATTTATACTTCTGGGTGGAGAGAGACAAACGTAGGTAAAGTGCCTTGTCCAACAACACAAGCGAAATTCACAGCGAAAGATTGAACCCTGACCTTGAGGTTGAGAGACTGAAATGCAACTGCTGTGCCTAGCTTCCACATGTATTACATTTTAATAAAAAAATAATAATCGAAAGAAAACTATTTGAAAGCTTTATGTATTTTAATTGAATTTCAAAAGTGAAAATACCTTAGAGCTGAGTATCATTTTTAGCTTTATGGTACATACTTTTGATATAATATTCCTATATATAATATACTGCATTATTTTATAGGCAAGAAAAATCTATTGTCATTCTTATTTTAAATTGAAAGTTCGTCAAATACAAGGCAAGCAATTCAGATATTCAATTTTATTGTTAAAGTTCATAAACCATAAACATAGTCAGTATACCTTTAATAGCAATTATGTAAGTGCTTCTGTTCATTGTATTTCTGATCGATTTTCAAATGCAAAATAAGCAATATTTCATTTTATTCGTCAAGTTTATTAGCTCAGTACAGGCATCATAATGCTAAATATTCAAGGTTAGCATATTTCTCAATAATAGTCAATTCTAACTATAAAACATATATATAGAAAGTCACAAAAATAAGGTGAATTACTGGAGAAAAAAAAATCAATCAATATTTACTTTAAAAATATGAGGCCAAAACCAGCATACTGTTGCTAAATGTTAAACTGAGTAATTATCTTAAGAATGTGGCAATATTGTATACTTCAGTACAGAGAAGCCGTAATACTTTTACTCATAACTTTAGCAATAATAAGTTGATTCCAATAAAATGACCTATCATTTAAAAGCTTATAATGTGGAGAATATGAATGTATTAGAAAAGTCAATTTTCTTAGTAACTGATGGTGATTTTGTCGTTGGAAGCCCCATATAGTAATTTTCATATAAATGAACTATTTTATTTATTATTTATTTGAACCGTACTTGTGGACGACTTTTGCAGCAATGCTGATGTACAGAGGACCGCTTGATTAATTCAAGTTCATATTATTTGTAATGAATTTCTTCGATGATCATCAAAGTATAAACTAGAACAACAAATAACCTGTGTTAAAGAGGCCTGTAAAAACTTCCGATTTAGACAGTGATCATTATCTGTAATTAAAACTGTGCAGTGAATCTCAATTCACTTGAACAGCCTCAGAATTTCCAGCATACCAAGATGGGTGATATGACTTTCACTGCGGGCATACCCAGCGATCATTCTTAATTGTGTCAATGTGTCATTTTAAAAGTAAAGACACAGAATTATTTATTTTAGTGTAGGAAAAATAAGACAATCATATAGGAAAGTTCCTTTTTTTGTATTAGTGAATTAAAGAGAAAAATAAGTTTAAAGTTTATGAATCAAAGTAATAAAACCATGGCATGTAAGATGCGGAGAGCAAACTGATTTAGGATGGTTTCAGCATTGGCTGGTAGGTATGCTTCAACCATGATTTGTGACTTGAGTTTTTAAATAGCAAGATTTGAACAATGAAATTACGAAAAAAAAAGCAATTTCAGTAGGTCTCAGTGTAATAAAAGAGGACAGCAAGATATGACAAGAACAGACTTGATACACTTGATTATGCAACTTTCGATTCTTAGATGATAACAATTTACAAATGGGAACAAATATAAAATCAACACCCAGGGCTAGATTGAAATGCACTTAAGATTGTTGCCTATTGAAATCATGTCTGAACACAAAACATCTTAAGAGAAGAAAAGAAGAGTTTGGCATATTGTGGTATTCAATTGTAGAATATGGTAATCCAGACAAGAGCATATTAATATTAAAATATCTATGTGTTTAT